GGGGGGGGGGGGGAACGAGGGGAGTACGCGCTCGTGTTTGCCGAGCGCCTGCAGGGCTGGGTACCGCCCCGCAGCGCCCTTCGTCATAATCTTCTGCAAAACCGGCATTTCAACCCCAAGTCTATAGTTTCTGGGTTTGGCGGGCAGTCTGTGGGCACCTCAAGCCGATCAAAGAAAGCCCATCACGCACAGGGCAGAGCGCACTGAGGGGATGGCCGTGAGGCCCCACTGTGCCCCTCCGCTGGCCAATGCTTTCAGGTGGGGCTGCGCCCACAATGTCGAGGGGCTGCTTGCCGTCGCCAGCGCTCCTCTGGCCTCTGACCATCCCTCGACCTTTTTTTTGGCTCCTAGTTCTGTCCCTAGAATTGCGTGCTGAGAAGAGGTACTTGGGGGAGGGAGGGGGGGAGACGGGAGAAGTGGGCAGTGTGGCGAGTGAGCGGAAGGCAGGGGAGTGGGGCTGAAACTTCCCAGGGGAAGGTGCCACCTGCCTAGCACCCTTATGTCAGCTCATTCCACTCAGTGGCTTCTGGGAGGGGACAACCGTCTCTGCACTGAAGGAGACAGGCCACACTCCTGGTGCGCTGAGGGGAAAGGGAAGGACATCTGGTCAGCTCTAGGCAGAGGGGCTTTCTTTTGCGTGACAGGTAAGCATCAGATGCGAGGCAGGCCAAGAATGTGGTCAGCAGATTCCAGAAGCACAGGAGAGCACAGAGGACGTGGGGAAAAACCACAGCTAAGAGTCCGGCCCAGGAGATGTCACCTCAGAACTCTTCCCAGGCCACTGAGAATCTAGACGGTGACCATGTTGTCAAGAGTCTCATCTGGCCTGCACAGAGACAAGGCCTTGATTCTTCTTCAAACTTTTGTTCTGCGGTCGATCTTTCTTGACGGCTCTTTGTGAACTAGAGATGACAAAAACAGTTTTCCTAACTCCTGTGTCTTTCCTTTTTATTTTTGTTTTTTTTTTTTGTTTTTTTTTTTTGTCTAACAAAACTGGACATCCATATGTCCTTCCTGCCTACTCAGAGACTCACAGATATAATAAAATAAGTTTAAATATTAAAGAGAAAACACAAAGATACTGGGAATAAATGTGCATTTAAAACCCCAGCTAAAATATCAACATGATGAAAACGGTAATAATTACAATGGTAATAACCAAAATAATTAGTACAATAATATTATCTTTATGAGCAGCATGGAACTTTCATTCCTGATCTGGAAGAAAAGAAAGGAAATATCAGGTGAAAGAGTAAGAGACTTCCAACGTAAGTAGACGAAACGAGCTTCTTTAAAATGGAAGGCTATGTTGTCTTTGCCCCTAAGAGATCAGATCTAGGAAGGGCTGGAAGTCGACTGTGCAAGGGGATCGGGATGTGACCCAGCAAGGCGAAGAGAGTCTCGTCTGCAGCCAAGACTTCTGTCCCTGGTCATGAGGACATGTTCTGGGGCTCTGCTGCACGTCAGGAGCAGGCGGACTTTCCAGGCCGGCGTGGCCCTGGCTCCCACTTCCCCCGCTCTCTCCGGACTGGCCATTTTCCCCGTGGTCTCTGACAGAGAGCACTTCCTCACTTCTGGGTAAGGAGTATCGATCGGCCGATCGGTTGGTGCTTCCACAAGGAGAGGGCCTTGTCCTGGGCTTGCCTGCTGGGGACATGGGAGCTGCCTGCGTGCCTCCAGTGGGCCGTGGGGTCCTTCCTTCCAGCCTGAGGCCCGGACTAAGTGGGTTCCGGTTCGGGGACCTATTTCTTTGTTAGATGAGCAGAATTTATGGTTGGGGAGGGGGAGTTTCCAGAGTCATTTTACATCTCACAGCTAACAGCTAAGGTAGTGGCTTGGCTTCATGACTGAATCAGGCTGGATAGCACTATAAAACCACTGTTCACAGTAGATGGTTAGGGGAGACTGTGGAGGGGGGCGGGGAGCGTGAGGATGAACTGACAAAACCAGGAGCCATCTCTTTGCACCTTGGAAACTTGGCTTTGGGATCGGTTAGGATTCAGCATCGAGAATCAGACAATTAGGACCACCCTTCCGAGCCCCATCTGTGACCAGACAGAGTCTCCCAACATTCACGTATTCAAGAATAATTTGCTATGAATGGAGCTCTCCCTACTCCCCCC